TCTGTGGCTGATGTATCCTTTCCAAGGACGCAGCCGCAGTAAGTAGGTATATGCGCACATTCGTGTATCCAATCGTGACATTTTGTCACGATGAGAGGCACGGCTTTTTAGGTCAATATGTGGGGAGTAAAGAATGTCGTATGCACAATTTTATCGTATACCAATGAGTGGCTAATGAACATTAGCAACCGATTTTCTGAGGCTGATGATGAGTGACGCACGTCTTAGCACTGAGCTCCGTCCTTATTGGATCAGCAGCATAGACAACGGGGAGAGTGATAAGGTAAGAATAAAAGTGCACAAATCGCACAACAAATATAAAATATGCAGCGTGAAACATTAAGCTTCCTTAGCTTCCGAACACGTAAAGGATAAATGGCGTAGTGTGCATGATAAACTATCGGATGCAGTGACGATTGCTGACAACAATGATCCCAAGATATTTTTCTGACTTTATTCTGGATAATGAGTCGAATCAGTCGCTAGGGGGGGGGGTCAAAGAAAAACCTGGCCAATTTGAAAATCCATGCAACAAATTCGGTGGGATTAATTCTGAGACCAAATTCCAGGGAATGATCTCGACTTTTAAAAATTGTTTAAAGTCAGTGAAAGCATAGCTAGTAAAAAGTTTTACTCAAGATAACATTGTCTACATACTAAGAAAGTCTGGAAGGTGAATTTCCAGACAACTCTCTAATCTACACGGAGAATAATTAAAGAGAAAGAACTGTTCCTTGAAGCACTTTGGTTTCTGCTGCTGACACTTGGAAGATTTTTCACCTTGCTGGGAACTTTATAATTGTTGTAACTACACAGGATTTTCTCTCTTTAAGGCTCACTTCCAGTAACGCTTCTCGTCCAGATAGGAATTACACAAGTAGTGAAATAGAACACAGTAGGAAGCATTTAGGAGTTCATTTATGGTTTATAGGAAACAGAGAGAACAAGGGAAAGTGTATATCAAACAATTGGTTGGTTGGATTGCTGTGAACCATCATGATTGGTTGGCGGTTTCGACCAATCACCTGAGTTTGGTTATCCTTGTTTTGATTGGTCGTTCCAGAGCAAAGCAGTTCTCAAGAAGCATACTGACTCCCTGACAATAATCGTTCAGAGAAAACACCCCGATGGCCATGGTACTAGAGAATTTAGACTTCCAAAATTATCTTGCTTCCTGAGAATTGGTCTAGAACTTGAGTCAAAGGCTGAGTACAAATCAAGCAAAATAATGAATAAGTAAGTTATATGTAATTCTTTATTGAATTAGTAATATATTAGCGATGTGATATAACAACATCAATTATGTTTAAATGTGAATTGCAAATGAGTGTATGATATAGGTCAGGATAGGCTCAGGTGGTCAAGAATGGCTTCCGTCATCAAATTTGAACCCGATGAGGTGAAAGCACTAAGAAGAAACTGCTTGGAGATAAAATTGTGAGTCCCGGAATCGAGATCACACTAATATGTCTCCACCAATTGTAGGTTGAGCCATTTTCATTGATTCCAGGATTCAGTCAATCGAACTGGCAGTAGTGGCATTCTGTCGGTTGCCCAATGGTGGAGCCCCCGCATGGGCTCCACAGAAAACCAATACATGTTAAGGAAATTCGATCTCGGCAAAAGATATAACAATGTCAACCACCTGGTCACGTTTGTAGACTCCAATCAGTTTACCGTCACAAATCCTCAATCAAACATACGAACGCATTTTATAACTCAATTATTCCAATGAAGACGGGAGAGCACACCAAATCGACTACGTAGTAATACATTTTCACTATCGAGCCAATCGCGACACTGATTTCCCACTTTGTAATCTTAGAACTCGAAGGACAGTCAACTACGTTATCGTCAACAACAAAATGCTGACTCACATTTCCATGTCCGCTTGAGGATTAGTAACTAACCGATGACCTATCAGTACATGCACTGACATTTTTGATAAAATATTGATTTTATGTTAGATTTATTTTGCTTTGAGGAAATCGTAATCAATGGAAAGATGAATCGGGTCTAGGTCTAGTTATGCATACAGTCAAACGAAAGACCACAAACTCTGTAATTGGAAATTTACAATACTCCCAATGGAACTAGGATTCTATCATCGCTCCAAAAGAATTCTAATTTGTCAATCACTGCGTCTCGATAACTCGTTAGTTTCAATGATGAATAGAATCAACTGAGACAGTTTTGGCCCCGCACATTCAGCTGTGTACTTGCAAATCAACGGCCTGATCTGCAATAACAGCATTTTTGGGGGACTTTCAGTTCAGTGTCTTAGAGTGTGAAGAACGTCAGAGTTCGATGCTCACAATTCGAATAGGGTGAATGGATGGACCACCGATATGGTTCCAACAATCTTTAGTAGAAACTGACTGTCGTCACTGGCTTGTTAGTTGGTTGGGTGTTTTAAAAACTGCAAGTGAATGTATGATCTGACCAACCAACTCCCTTTCACTGG